AATTTTAAAAATTAACAATTTACCCATTGGAAAAGAAAAACTTCTGACCCAAATACCATCTTCTTTTACAGTTTGAGTATTGGGGAACCTCAGTTGTCTACAGCAGTTCTGTCCCATAGAAATATATGATGATACATACTGTATGCTCAAGTATCTGCAGTTTTAAAGTTAGTGGAAGCTACATTAAAACAAGGAACTAGAAACATTAATGTTAATGATATATTTTACCTGGTTTAATGAGTTCCAAATACCATCATCTGAACATGTAACCAATATTTTTAAAGTACTGAGATATTTACTTTTTTTATATTGCTTTTGAAATCCAGTGTGTATTTTGCACTTGTAGCAGACATCAATTCCAACTACCCACATGCAAGGGCTCAGCTCATCTCTGGGTACTGTTAGACATAGCTTATTTCTCCCCTTTGATCCATCCAAGAATTAGGAGCTCTGTTCAAAGATCAAATTTGAAGTTACCACAACAACTAGCAGTCTGTTCAGAGGAAAGACACAGAGCACACTTCTATTCCATAAACAAGCTTCAATTGTGGGGCCAGAGCACATTTTGCCATATTTTCCAACTCTCCAACAAATTAAGAAAAGAGGCCCAGGTCTTCATTTGGCAGAAGGCCACAGTCTCAGGCATCTAGTGAGATACATGGAGGATTTTTCTGCCAAATAAAAAGGAGGCGGATTGTTCTTTGTATCAAGGGAGTGCTTTGGCAGCTTAGCATTTGCAAAACATCTCTTTCATCTGCCCCAGGAAGAGTTGACTCTGGCTTCCAGCTCGTGACCGTCCAAGGGGTCTTGGTCAGGTGCTAAAGAAGTCGTCGAGGAAGGGGGCTTCCTCTGTTCTGTGCTGCTGTGTTGTAAGGCCTGGAGCCTCCTCATCGGGCCCTCAGAGAAAACAGTTTCTTTTCTGAATTTGTTGGTTTGTGCCAGATGTACTGTTGTCTGCTCTGTACGGGGTTCCTTGTTATGACAGTTTCTTTCAGCTGATTGCCAAGATCCCTGTCTTCAAGGTCACCTAGACTGGAGCTCCTTCATCACTCGCACTCACCGTCTGCCCAGGCACCCAGGTTAGAAACCCTCTTTCTCCATATCCAATTCATCTTCAGGTCATGGAATCCATCTTGAACTGTCTCTTGAACCCATCCACTGCTGTGCACTTGCCATTGTCCTGGTTTATACTTCCTTTTTGCCCACCAGATTGTGGAACCAGCCTCTGAACGTTGTGTCCTCACTGCTGAGGGTGAGTTTTCTAAAACGTAAACTCAACTGGGTCACTTTCATGTTTTTAAGACTTTAATTAGCTCTTTACCTTTATCTACACAGTGGATTTCAACCCTTATAAAAAGGGTTAAAGCAGAAAACCCCCAGAATTTTCAGTGATGCATTATAGAGAGCACTAGGATTTAAAGCAGATAAAATCTTAGCTGCTGTGGAATCCAAGGCCGCTCCAAGGAATCCTAGATTTCTTCTGGGCATAGCTGCAACCCTGCTACCCCATGGGAGGAAGCCTACACTCCTTGGTTTGGCATAAAAGGCCCCATAGAATCTGATCCCAGCCCATCCTTCTGGCACCATCACCTAGCACTCCACTGCACACACCTCAGTTCCCCACTGCACAAACTGGACCCAAATGTGCCAGGCATTTGAAAGTCTTCTGGGTCCATGCAGCTTCCTCAGCCAGGAGTGTCTTCCTGCTCATCTCTGACTGGTGACATCCTAATTGTCCTCCTCGGTGTGGCTCCAGTGTCATCCTAGGTGAAGCTTTTCCTTATGAACAAGCCAAAGAGAACACACTCCTCCTTCCCTGGGAGCTCTGTTACTGTAATTCTGTTTACCACTCAGCACATCTGTCACCTGGATCTGTTTCTCCTAGAAATATTATCTTTCTAATCCTGGCCCGGATTATCAGTAAACGTTTATGACATTATAAAGTTAGGACTGTGTCCTTTATTCTATCAGTAACAGAGGCAAGTGAGCCATACACAATTTCCTGATGAACTCTGAGAACCTTCAGAGGAAGTAAGAGGACTTAGAGCCCTGGACTGGAAATGTGACCCTTTTGGTTCTAATTCTGGCTCTGTCCCTAACTCAGTCTTCAAATTAATTTCTGCACTGCCATGGTTTTCGTGCTGTTGGCATTATGATAATGATGATTCTACTAGCTAATATTTATAAAGCAGCTACCACATGCCAAGCACTGCTGTAAGCATTCTTCATGGATTAACAGTTTTTGCTTTACAGAATGAAGGATGAAGCATTTACTAAACTGAACTCCTTTCTTCAGTTGCAACTGGGACTGAGAGAGCCTTGACAGATCGTGTCTTGCAGAGATGAGGCCACGGAGACTCCTAAGTGAAATGACTGTGCAAAGTGACTCAGCTGGTGGCACCGCTGGCTGCTGGCAGGTCCCCTGCCTCTCAGGTGGCTGTGCTTTCACTCACATAAGAATGCTTCTCAGTGACAGGAAGTAGCCTGGGTATGGACCAGAGCCACCCTTACCCTGGCAAAATGTATTACAAAGCGTCAACAGAGAAATACGACAGCTATCAGCTTGATTCATATCTGAATATTTCCTAACTTAAAAAAGTTAAGCAATTCCATTTCAAATTTGGTTTAACGTTTTAAAACATGTACCACCTAGTAAGGATTATAATTACGTAAAATAATGAGTGGTGCCAATAGAATCTAGGATAGAAACAACTTGTCCTCAGGTATAAATGTGCGAATCACTGCTGGTGAGATCCTCCTCAGGATGGCTCAGTCACTGTTCCTAGGATGGCTCCTACCAAGTGGCTTCGAGGATATGGCATCCATGATCCTCTGATGCACCTTTGATTATAATGTTCTTAAAAGCATGCCCATTGCACAGTGGTTATGGCGCTGGCCATATACACTGAGGCTGGAGGATTCAAACCCTACCATGGCCAGCTAAACAACAATGACAGCTGCAACAAAAAAATAGCTGGGCATTGTGTCGGGTGTCTGTAGTCCCAGCTACTTGGGAGGCTAAAGCAAGAGAATCGCTTAAGCCCAAGAGTTGGCGGATGCTGTGAGCTGTGATGCCACAGTACTCTACTGAGAGTGACATAGGGAGACTGTCTCAAAAAAAAAAAAAAAGTATTTCCTGAGAGGCAGCATAATATCATGGAAAGAGAAGTGAATCTAAAGTCAAAATTCCTACCATTGACCAAGGGACTGTAGGAAAATCAGTTCATATGGCCTAAGGAAGTCTCAGATTTGTCCTAAGGAAAATGTTGTCAATTCTACTGCCCTTAGCTAGTTGGAGATGCTGAGAAGCTCCAAGGAGATGTGAATGGAGAGGACTGGGACAGGTAAATGCCCATTTTTCTTCTTTAAGGAGTGATCCTTAAGACCACTAGAATGCTATCCAGAACTGTTTCATTATTGAAATCCTATCTTAGTCTGTTCTGGATACTATTAACAAAATACTAAAAAGTGGGGTGCCTTACAGACAAATTTATTTCTCAGTTCGGAAGGCTAAGAAGTCCAAGATTAAGGCACCAGTTAGTTCTCTGTCTGGTAAGGGCGTCTTCCTGGTCCATAGATGGCCCTTCTTTGTTCTCACATGGCAGAAGGGAAAGGGAGCTCTCTGGGGTCCCTGTTATAAGGGCATATAATCCCACTTAGGTGGGCTCTTCCCTCATGACCTCATCACCCCCCTAAATCCCACCCCATAATACCATTAAATGGGTGATTAGGTTTCAATATGTCAACTTGGGGGAGGGACAAACATTCAGACCATAGCATCTCCAGAGAAGGGTAGAGACACAGCCAAGATCCAAAGTACAGAGGACATGACAGAGTCGGGGTCACCCCTTTCTAGCGCTCTCTCCTTTACCTAAACTTCAGGATTACATTAATTTCATTCTCCTTTTCTCAAGCTAGGAAACTAAAAATTTTTATAAACCCACATATTACTTTAAGTTTTAAAAATTTTAACTGAAACTTAGCAGGGCATCAAAATAATATTTATTGAATGCATTCGGGTACCAAGTTCTTCATACAGAATGAGACTCACAGCGGCCCTGCAGGGCTGGTATTATTGGCCCCAGCCCCTCCTATCCCACCTTTCTAGAACTGGAGAATCAGCAAAGCCGAGTGATGGGCCCAGAATTCAAACTCCTTTGCCAGACCAAATCCAGAGCCTCTCTCCATTAGACCAAATGCCTCAATACGGAAAAAAAGAATCCCACAAAATCAGAAGGAAAGGACAAAACATAATGTGATTTCAACATGGTGTTGGCCGATGCTATTTCAGAAATGCACACGACCTCACATTATGACAAAAAGCAGTCATATTGTCCTATTAGGGAGTTATAGAAACGTCTTTTTTCTTTTCTAAAGTTTAAAAAAGTAAACATCGAAGCACAGCTTCGGGCTTGCTGACGTGAAGGGGGAAGGGTGGTGCCGCGTGTTAATGTGCTTGCCCTGCCGAGTCATTCGAGCACAATGCAGAGACGCACAGATGTGGGACCAGGATCCGGCGGCTCAGGTTGACCCGCGCCCCGCCGCACCCTCTCCCTGACACCGCATCTCCACCCTCCCCATTCCATTCTCAGAGTGAAGCCATCACATCACATGGACTCTTTTAAAATCCTGCCGCCTTAAGATGTACGAATGCGAGTTCAAATTCCTGCCTGAAACACCGGGGAGAGGTCACTCCGCGTACCCTCAGCTTGAAAAGTCCCCCCTGATTTCCTAGAGCGTCCGGTCCCACCCTCTCGGCCTCGTGCTCCCCACTCCGGCCCCTCTGGCCGCCCGCGGCGTGTCAGCGAGGCTAGAGCCGACTGCGACGACGAGGGCCGAGGGCTGCGGCCACCAGCGGCGGCAGGCGCATTGTGAAGTGGCGGGAGCGTCACAGGCGACCCGGGCCGGGCCCGCGGGGAGGGGCGGGGCGGGGCGGCTGTCGGCAGCGCCCCCTGGAGGCCCCGGGGCCTCGCGCAAACGCGGGGCGCGCCGGAAGGAGCATGGCGGGCTTCGGCCCCTTCACCTCGCTGCCGCCCTACCCCGACCTCTGGGCGCGCCCGCCGCCCGGCGGAGAGCGCGCGTCCACGCAGCGGCTGGGCGGGCCGGAGCCGGGGACCGAACCCTCCCTGTGCTACTGGGCGGGGAGTCCGGGAGTAGAGAGCGAGGATGGGGCGCCCTGGCTGCACCCGCAATTTTTGCGCACCTCGCGAGCTCGCCGGCACGGGTACCCAGCCTCGCCGCGGGGGAGTCGCAGCCTGAACGACGTGGACAGGAGGGCACTGGACAGCGCCAGAAGGCACCCGTCCCGCAGCAGGCGCCTGGAAGCTACCTGGGAGGAGGCCGGGACCAAGGCCAGCGCGGACTGGCAGCAGCAGTCCCGGCTGCAGTCCCGACAGTCTCAGCCCTGCCCGCACTCGCCTCTGGCCCAGGGAGATTCGCCCCCGCCTTACCACGGGGGAGCTTACACTTCCCTGGGCAGAACTGGCAGAGCAGAAAAGGCGCAGAGTGGAGGCCAGTGGGCAACGCCAGTCTGCAGACAGCTAGGCCGCTGGTCTTCTTCCTCGGTTCCCACGGAGAAGTCTTCTGTGCTCTCCCGAAAGTTCAGGACACAGTCGGCGCGTGAGTACGCCCAGAAAAGAGACAGCAGCGACCTGGCTGAGTCATTGGCCAGTCCTCACTCCCAGCCCTCAGTCTCCAGCAAAGAGATACAAAGCCAGCACACCCGGACCCTCAAGAACAAGCTGGAAGAGGCGGTGATGTCCTCCAGGGACCAGAAGATCGTGGCCCTGGTGCTGGCCCGGCTCGAGAAGGCCCAGAGGATGCGGGAGCTGCAGCAGCAGGCGGCAGAAGCCTGGGAGGAGCTGAAGCGCTCGGACCAGCAGGTGCAGATTACCCTGGAGAGGGAGCGCAGGCTGCTGCTGCAGCAGAGCCAGGAGCAGTGGCGGCAGGAGAAGGAGCAGCGCAGGACCCGCCTGAGCCGAGAGAAGCGCTGCCGGCGGCGGGACAGCCAAGTAAAGAACGAGATCCCGAGGGAGAGCTGGTGGAGGGAGCAACTGGAGGACCAGGAGAATCAGCGCCTGGAGAGGCTGGAGAAGACGCGCATCCAGGCTGAGCACCGGAAGCAGCGCCAGGAGCGGCGCCTGCGGGAGCAGGAGAGGATGCTGCGGAGGCTGCAGGAGCAGCACAGCCTGCAGCTGCACAGGAGGCTGGAGGAGGCCTGTCACAAGAGGCACCTGCAGGCCGTGGAGAGCCAGAATAAGGTTCCCGAGACCAACCTGAGCTCTCTCGTCAATTACCAGGCCCGGAAGGTCCTCGTGGACTGCCAGACCAAGGCCGAGGAGCTCCTTAGAAAGCTGTCCCTGGAGCAGAGGTTCCAGAGGTCCCGAGAGATCCACCAGGGGCTCATTAAGGAGCGGCACCGAGAGCTACGGGAGAAGGCCCAGAAGGAGGAAGAGCAGTTCCAGCACGTCAAGTGGCGCGCAGGAGAGTCCGAGGAACAGAGGAAAGTGCGCAAGAAGTTACTGGGGGAGCTGGCAGATCAGAAGATGCAGCAGGCCCGGAGCAGCGCGCACAAGAGCACCAGGGACAAGATGCAGCACCTCCGGGAGCTGAACGTCCTGCGGGAGAAGAATCATCACATACTGAAGCTGAAAGCCGAGAAGGAGGCGAAGTGCCACATCGAGGGCATCAAGGAAGCCATTAAGAAAAAGGAGCAGAGGATCCAGCAGATCTCCCAAGGGAAAGACCTAACCTTCGAGGAATTCCAAAAGCTCCCTCGAGCCTCCAGGAGAGACATGAGAGCTTGTCCCGACAGCTCCTTTGATTCCGTGGTACTAGAGGCCCAGCTTGCCGCCTGTCAGCAGAAAGGGAGCTACTGACAACCTAGGGACGCGAGGCTTACATTCAGCCCCAGCCGCCAGAAAGAGATGTGGCAATGTGATTCATTTTATAATCTGATTATAATCAAGCATTGATTTTTTAAAAGTATATAAAATAACTGCAGTTTCCTCTCATGAACTAGTTCTTTGATTCATTTGGATAGTTTAGAGAGGGTTGGGGAGAAAAATCTGGGAAGTTTTCCTTAAAATGCCTTGCCTTTGTAAATTTTGATTTAAATAGAAAATATTCATTTAGCTCTCATTAGAAGCATACAACAGGCACATCTTGGAGACACTAGAGGAAAATAGGTAGAGTTCTGTGTCATGTTTTAAGAAGTTTTTTCCTGTCTCAGAACTTATGAAAGTGTGAAGTCATAAGAAATCTTTAAGACAAAAAAAGTGGAGGTGGGAGGATTTCCGCGAACAATTACATTTGAGAAATCTGCATACTATATTCCCCTCTTGGGAGTTTGTAATGCACTTTAAAATTTTAAAGGCTGTGAAAATGTCTGCAGCAAAGAAACATTATTTTTTATTTTTATTTTTTTTAATAAATTTTTTTTTTGCAATTTTTGGCGGGGGCTGGGTTTGGACTCACCACCTCCAGCATATGGGGCCAGTGCCCTACTCCTTTGAGCCACAGGCGCCGCCCAGAAACATTTTTGATCTAGAGTTTTTCACATATTATGGAGCCCCTTTTTATTTTCTGAGATCATTCCATAGAACTGGTGTTCTGTGAAACATTTTTGGAAATGTTTTATAGTTCTTCCCATAGTGTAAATTTCTTTGGCCTTTTTACCCTGTGCTATTAGGAAGTGTTTGTAATTCCATCAGCACTGTGTCTTAACTGGCCCATCACAGCCATGCCATCTCACAGCTCAGTAAAATCTGTTTGTCTGATCATTATTTCCTTGTGGGAATCCTATTCAGTCTTACAAAACAAATTGCTATTGGAATCTTTCTCTTGCCCTCTGTTTCTCTTGTGTCTCTTTCGAGGGTGATGTCATTCTGTCTACCCACCTTGTGTCTAATTAACCTAACCAGGCCCTGGATGAATGACTAAGCATGACTCAGTAACCTGACGTATTTTTTAAAAGACCCAGGAGGTAAAAGAAATTAACCCACCATGTCTCAAAGTCTTTATTGGGAAACCCTAAATGTTTTCTTTAAAAAGATCCTAGCATAACATTTTTTATTAGAGAAAAATAGACTAAGCCACATTGGAAGGTTTTTGTCTTATCAATAATTCTGAAACAACATTCAAGGTAACTTGACAAGGGCTGCTGTGTGGAGGTCAGTTTGAGGACTGCTTCCTCAGCTCATATTATGGAACCCAGGCCCTCTTTCCTATTCTTCTTTCTTCCTCAACCCTAGGTTCCCTCTACTTGCTGTACCCCAAAATGCCTATGACAGGGCTACCACCCCTTTGCTCAAAAATGTTCAGGAAGTCCTATTGCTCAAAATGCAAAGGTTCATATATCTTGCCTCAATTTCTCCCCTTATTCCCTTCTCCTTCCCAGAGTATTTTCTCCACTCTAGTTTTATTGAAGTCTATTTGCCCAGAGGGTAGGATGAGGGAGGGAACAAAGATGCCAGCAGTTTCTCTGATTGATCGTATCAGCTCCTATTGTTATTATTAACCTTAAGGGTATCCTTGAGAAATATGAAATCTGAGCCTTGTATGGGGAGGACCTCCCATTTGGGATCACACACACAGATTTCTAGGGAGGTGTTAAACTCCACTAGTTCCCTGTGGCGTAAAATGCCACCAGTTACTCCACCAGCGTTAATCTCCTCTATAGGTGGGAGGGAGGAATTTTCCTCCCATCACCAACACAGAGAATCTCCTCTGTAATAAGGGATATAAACTCTGCTGCCGTATCTCAGGGCTTGAGCTACTCCCTTGATCTCTGCCCCAGGCAAATGCAAATCTCCAGAATGGATATCTGCTTTGCCTATTTACTAGGGAGGAAATGACGCAGTAGATGTATCTTTCTAGGACTTTGCCATAGTCCCTTCTATGACCATTTTTTCCTCAAAGTGCTCACAGACCCAGCAGGGGTGTTTTAAGCTGTTTCCCCAACAGGCTAGAATTTCAGAAAAGGCCCGAAGCGTGCTAGCAATGGCTGGCTTAAATGTAAACTAGCTGACTTTTCTTTGTTCTGACTCACTCAGCTTACTTTTTAATTTTCCTCTGTTTCTGGGGGTGCTTTCCCTTGGCAAGAATGGGGTCTTTGGTCTCAATTCTCCCTGCAGTCTTGGCCAACAACTCACGGCTCTTGCATCATAACAATGCACCAGCTCACATGCCACTGTCTGTGAAGAGGTTTTTAGACAGTAAACAAATAACTGTATTGGAGCACCCTCCCTACTTACATGACCTGGCCCCAGGGACTTTTTCCTTTAACCAAAGATAGAGGAAATACTGAAAGAAAGACATATTGATGACATTCAGGACATAAAGGGAAATATAATGGACATTCCAGAAAAAGAGTTCCAAAACTGTTTTGAAGGGTAGACTAGGCACTGGTATTGGTGCAGAGCTTCCCAAGGGGAATACTTCAAAGGTGACTGTCGTAATATTCAGCAATGAAGTATGTAGCACTTTTTCTAGAATGAGTTCACAAATTTCATTGTGAGAACTTGTGCTCTAAATGTTTAGATTTCAATTGAAAATCCCTCTTTAAGAACTATGAAACTCTAAGGAAAGAAATAGCTGAAAATGTTAACAAATGGAAAAACATACCATGCTCATGGCTGGGAAGAATCAACATTGTTAAAATGTC